AACTCTGTACGGCAAGCGTCGCTCAGACGGGCGAAGCAGCGGGATTCTGTGTGACTAGGTGTCCCGCAAGGCTGACCAGTCCGGACACCCGTGCAAATGACGTACGGGCAGCGAGCAGTACTCAGTGACCCTCTACTCTGAACGTACCACTCACGAAGCTGCTGGGGCGAAAGAGCCTCGCGGGGACGACGCTGCAGCTGCACCTGGCCACTACCAGAAGCTCCCGAACTACCCACTCCAGGGCGACTCCCACTACGGCCACCCTGACAACCCCAACTAGCGTACCACTCACGAAGCTGCTGGGGCGTGAGGGACTTGCGCGGACGACGCTGCAGCTGCACCGGGCCACTACAAGAAGCTCCCGAACTACCCACTCCAGGACGACTCCCACTACGGCCACCCCGACAACCCCAACTAGCGTACCACGCACGAAGCTGCTGGGGCGTGAGGGACTCACGCGGACGGCCCTGGAGCTGCAACTGGCCACGCCAGGAGTAGCAGTAGCAGCAGTAGTAGTAGCAGTAGGAGTAGTAAAAGCAGTAGCAGCAGTAGCAGCGGTAGCAGCGCGGGCAGGGCAGTGCTCACCAGTGGTGGGAAGGGCAGGCGCAAGACGGCGGCGACGGCAGGGCCGCTACAGCTGCAGGGCGGGGCCGCGACCGCGGCAGGGAGCTCCGCGGCAGTTGCAGCAGGGCGGGGCCGGGCCGCGAAGGCAGCTACTGCAGGGCGGGGACAGGGCCGCGACGGCCGCTGCTGCAGGGTGGGACAGGGCCGCGACGGCAGTTGCTGCAGGGTGGGGCAGGCCGGGACGGCAGCTGCTGAAAGGCAGGGCAGGGCCTCAACGGCAGCTGCTGCACGGCGGGGCAGGGCCGCGACGGCAGCTGCTGCAGGGCTGGGCAGTACGCGACGGCCGCTGTTGTAGGGCGGGGCAGGGCCGCGACGGCAGGATGCTGCAGGGCGGGGCAGGGGCGGCCGTCCCAAGGGCGGGCGCGGGGTAGGGCAGGGCGCCGCGGCGGGCAGGGCCGACGCCGCGCGGGTCCCGCAGGGGCGTCGCGACGAGTGGGGGGGGGGGGGGGGGGGGGGGGGCCGACGCCCGGGTCCCGTTGGGGCGTCACGACGAGGCGGGGGCGACGCGCGGGTCCCGCAGGGGCGTCGCGACGAGGCAGGGGCGACGCCCGGGTCCCGCAGAGGCGCCGCGACGAGGCGGGGGGCGACGCGCGGGTCCCGCAAGGGCATCGCGACGAGGCAGGGGCGACGCCCGGGTCCCGCAGAGGCGTCGCGACGAGGCGGGGGCGACGCGCGGGTCCCGCAGGGGCGTCGCGACGAGGCAGGGGCGACGCCCGGGTCCCGCAGAGGCGTCGCGACGAGCAGGGCGACGCGTCGCGGGGTCCAAGGGCGGCTTCGCGGGTGCAGGGCAGGCTCGCGCGCGGCCTGCAGGGCAGGGCGGCAGGGTGGCGCTCAAGGGCGCGGGTAGGCAGGCGCTCAAGGGCGCGGGTAGGCAGGCGCTCGAGGGCGCGGGTAGGCAGGCGCTCGAGGGCGCGGGTAGGCAGGCGCTCGAGGGCGCGGGTAGGCAGGCGCTCGAGGGCGCGGGTAGTCAGGCGCAAGGCACGACAGTGTGATTCAGGCAGGGCAGAAAAAAATTCGTGGTGGGCCCTAAAAAAAAACCGGTCCCACTAGGGAACCTGCTCTCAAACCATGTGAAATGATAGAACAAGGAATGAGTGAACTAGCAAGGAGATGGGTACAAGTAAGAAAACCTAGCAGTGTTGTACCCCATATAGTCTACCCCACTACAGCCTACACAGACTATATCATATATGTTTGACACAAGACCCTCCAGAACACCATGCACAAGCTGCTACGTGGCATGCGGCTACCCAACCACCAGTGGCCTGAGGCGATGGACCATGCTGTCATGCTGCACAACTTGCTTTCGTCATCATCGCTCCCGAACAACGCATCACCGCATCTGCTGTGGACAGGAAAATTGGGCAACACAAAAATGTTATGAGTGTTCGGCTGCATGGTGCAGTACCGACCCCCAGCTGCACGCGGTGGTCGATTCTCCCAACGCGCACAATGGGGACTACACCTGGGCATCGAGAAACATTACAATGCATGGAAGATTTTTTACATCAACACAAAGGAAACAGGGGCAGCACGTGATGTCATCTTCTAAGAACGTCTCACCCTTCCAACTTACCTGTACAACTTGGAAACCTCACGGGATGTCACAGGCGGAATTCGTTGAGACCGAGCCTTCGCTTCGGCAGCAGATGAAGCTGACTGGGATGAGCAGAACGTGGACTGAGCTTCGGAAGAAGCCGGGCCTCTTCCCTACTGCTCAGTGGACATCCCAATGGATGATGACAACCCTCGCGAAAGCATCAACGCCGAAGTCTTCTACGAATTCGCTGACACCGGTTACGTTACACCCGCACGAGTCAACACCGACGAAGCAGAACGCATAGGGCCCAATTTCTTACCTGATCCAGAAGCAGGAGACGAAGCAGCTTATCCCGAGGACGCAAATCTCCCCCGCTACACACAGAGTGGACTCCAGATACTCGGGCTCATCACCGCAGTCCACGGCACGGCGTCACCTAAGGAGCCTGCCACAGTTCAGCAGGCTCTGGGGGGGGAACACAGGGAAAAATGGCGCGAAGCCATGGACAAGGAGTTAAAAGCGCTAGAAGAATGCAATACTTGGAAAATCGTTCCCATCGGCGTAGCACGCAACAAGACAATCCTCACCGGGAAATGGGTTTTTCGTGTGAAAACCAAAGCAGACGGCACCATCGACAAGTTCAAGGCGCGTTGGGTCGTACGCGGCTTTGACCAAGAGCACGGACGGGACTTCACAGAAACGTTTGCGCCGGTCAGCCGACACACCTACCTGCGGATTCTCCTCGCGATAGCCGCCATGAAGAGGAAGAAGCTACGCCAAATCGACGTTGCCAACGCCTTTTTCCACGCGCCCGTCGATGTTGAAATCTTCGTCGAGCAACCACACGGTTCCAATGAAGACCCCAACCAAATCTGTCAACTGCTGAAGTCTCTGTACGGCATTAAACAGGCTCCGAGGTTGTGGCAGCAATACCTACACGCTCGACTCATCCGCATCGGATTCCGCCAGCTACCGCACGAACAGGGCATGTACTGGCTCACGAAAGGCACCGACTACATCCTGCTCATCGTCTACGTGGACGATCTACTCTACATCGGCTCAACCGACGGCATCACAACCTGGTTCGAAGGGGAGGTGCAGCAGGACCTCACGCTCACGGTTTCATCTACCGTAACGCAATACCTCGGGCTCAACATTCAAGAAGAGGAGAACGCAATCTACCTCAGCGCTGCGAAATACGCCGACACCATCGCTAAGCGCTTCGGACTAACTCCAGCCGCCATTTCCACGCCATACCGCACCACCGCAGGAAACCACAATGAAATCTCCGCCCCGCTCAAGCCCGCCGGCATACGTGACTACCAGCGAAAGCTGGGATGTCTCCTCTTCGTAGACGCCGCCCACGCCGGCGACGCAGACAATAGGCGCTCGCGCACCGGCTATATTTACTGACTCGAACCTATCGGCCCTATCTCGTGGCAGTCAAGCAAGCAGGAACTAATCGCTCTCTCTTCAGCTGAAAAAGAATATATTGCACTCTGCTCAGCCACCAAGGAAGGTTTGTACCTTCGCGAACTGCTGGAAGAAGCAAAGTTGGCTCAGTTACCCAGCTTCACTCTGTTCTGCGACAGCCAATCCGCAATTTGCATAGCAAACAAGAATGGGTTCGCGAACCGGACGAAGCACATCACTCTACGATATTTCTTCGTGAAAGTCGAGATCGAGAAGGGGAGACTCGAGCTGTCCTACTGTCCCACATCCGAGATGGCAGCCGATTACTTGATCAAGAAGCTCGGAAAGCAGAAGTTCGAGTACTGCATGCTGCTGACTGGACAAGGCCACGTCTCCAGCAATGACACTCCAGAAGCGAAGGGGAGTGTTGGAAACAAGTAACTTAAACGCTTCCGATGTGTCGCATTAGCGAGCTGAAAACGAAGCGAACTACAACGAAGCAACGGCGAGTCAACCATCGGAGGTTGAGAAGAGAAGTAACTGCTGGAGGTTACGCGAAGGTCAAAGGTCAGCGACCTTTGACTTGACAAATACAGCGCGACAGCAAACAACTGACTCGCTATTGAGCAGTTGCATCTTTTCATATTCCTTGTACTCTTATAAAACCTTGTATCTTCTTGCTTTAATCAATCTATCTTGCCCTCACATACTAGCGCAAGGTGGTTCAACACTTCATCATTGAAACGCTTCCGCAACTACAACAACTCTACTCAGAATTTAGCCTTGTAAAGATCCGAAGGGTTTTTCTCAGTCCAACAGAATGGAATGGAGTGGGGTGGAATAGGATTCGATGGGATGCAGTGGGTCCAAGGTCAGCTGGTGGGCTAAAGAACTGTAGGAGGTCTGGAATCACTGCCTTCTCCGCAGTGTTGAACCGCCTAATCTTCCCTAAGCCAGCACAGATTGTACCGATGTAATTTTGCCTCATACGGTATGGAACTGAAACAAAAATTACTACTGAAAAAAGTACGTTCAGTTATGGATTTATGGAACGATCTAAAATCGTCAGAATTAATCAACACATACACGCATCAACAATCAGTCACAAGGTTGCACCTTTGGTGGTGGTGTGCCACAGCCTATGTAAAGGCACTGTCACTGTCGCCCCGTCAGCTGATTGTGAATGCCACAATTCTACCTACTAGAATAGGCAGTAGAGTACCATGCCCCGCATTTTCCTCTTGGACTGGGCCGGTGTTCGGGTAGAAACGCACGCCATCAATGTTGACCTAGCATCCGAGGTTGACAACGGCGCTCCCCCTGATCAACAAGAACAAGAGAAAGGAGGTTCAATGAAACCATATCAAAATGAGAAATCAAATGCTTGTGCGTGGCGCGTTACAAGGGTGTGAAGAATTAGTACCGTTTGGTGTGGTAGCCGAAAGTTTGGGAGCTCGAGTAGGCCCAGATCAAGTTGTTGATGCCCGTGTAATTGACCGGAGCCGAACCGCCGCCGCCGGTGCGAGTGAACCTGAAATTCGTGCAACACGCGCAGAATAATCGAGAGTAAGAATTAGCATCCGGACGGAACACCGCCGAACGAGATTTGACAACCGAACGTGACGCAGTTGGGAGATAAAATAATTGTCGCACGTCGAGATGGACGAGCGGTTTCAGAACTCACTTGACAATCTTGCCACCAGCGGGGGTAGTGGCTACCACAGATGTCGCCGAGAGCGTGACGGCAGCTGTCGTTTGAATCCCGGCACTCGGGTAGGTCTTGCTGGTCATCGCGTAGGCCTGCACGGTGTTTGGCGCCGGGAGATTCCCCACCACCGCTTCGGAGTTGCACATTTTGCCACGTGTGGCCGTCCAGCCAACGGATATCCAGCCCTTCTCGGCGCCGCTACCCTTGCCCGCCACAATCGCAGCGTTGATTCCGTCCTTCGCCGCGGTGATGCTCCAGTGCAATGTCAGGCTGAGGTACAAGTAGACGGGTGGGGAGTATGGGAATCGAGAATGAGGAGGTGCAATTAGTCAGTGACTACTAGTAATGTAGCGCAAACACAAAAAGGGAGGGCATCCATGCGGCGTTTCGCCGCTGGGTGATGTCAACAACATAATATCGAGGGTTTTGGGGTTTAGAAAAGTTCACGCACACGCCGAGCGTGACGGATTTCGTGTAGGTCGCCAGAGTCGACTTCTTGCAGACGAGGGGCTTAACAACGGCGGGGGCAGCCGCGTGTTGTCGTGCGAATGCGCAGCTGGCTGTGGCGAAGAGCAGAACCGCGAGCGACGCTGCTAGGAAGGAGAACCGCGAGGAGGCCATGATGGAAGCGCGATGAGATTGATCTGGCGATAGGCGAGGGCGGGGTGTGGTGTAGGAACGGCGAGTGAAAGGAGGTGGACTCGGGGTGGAATGAGAAATTGTAAGAAATGATCTGCCTACATATACTCCGTTGCGTCCTCTTGTCCCAAGTGTGATAAGCGATACCCAGCCGTTGGCTCGGCGGGGCTCGTTCCTTTGGTCCTGGTTGGTTCGTCTTGTCGGGCCTGGTTCGGTGAGGTTGGTGAGGGAAGGAGGATGCAGCGGACCTGTATCTCCCTTGCCTCTCCTTCCAAACCTAACAGACGAAGAGCGAACCTGCATGGCAAGCGAGGGAGGCAACTTCACGTTCAGTCGAAGCTGGTGTGGCTGATGTTGTTGAATTTCCAAATTCGTTCTGTGGTCATGATGGCCCACACACCCTCAGGAACGACAATGCTCCGAGCAAAGGCTCGGTGCGGTGCGCGTTTTGCAGGCTACAGTCAACAAAGGCATAGCGCGTGAGTGGCTTACGGCGAGACGAGTTTTGTAACCGACCAGCCGTCGTGTACGCTTTTCACTGGTCACCGACATGGCTGACTGAGCCATGGTTGCAATTCCACGATTTTCAACGTGAGGTCCGTTGGCGGAGGGGATTCTTGGATGACGTCAAGAACTGATTGTGTGGTTATCGTATCCAGTCGACGGGCACTGACATTATCTCCACGCGCAAAATCGTGATACGGTTGTCTGAGAGGGCTTATCGGGGAAGCAGCTCACCACACCACCACCACATGCCCGCTGTACGCCATCACCACACAACCACCGGTCTTGGTCCAGGCCAGGGCCCACTAGTACCCAACGATCACATACTTCTCAATACACCATTCAATCACTAGATATCATTGATTATTGTAAGGAATTTTCTCGACATTCCTTAGCGCATCCTGCAACATCGCGTACAGCAGCAGCCGTTGTTCGCCCGTTACTGCTAACGGGGCTTCGCCGACTTCGCGCGCACTGTTTTACCAAAGCGTGCACCGCTGGCCCGGCCGTGTCGGCCTACGCTTCGGGACTAGCCAGAGCCTCGATACTAGCCTAGCACTAGCTAGCTCGCACGCACCACGTTACCGTTTGCATGTTCAGCGTATAAATGTTCGCTCATGCCTTCGCTCACATTTGGTACTCGTTTGACACTTAGTGCAATCCTCGCTACCTCGATTCATTGCACCCGTAACACTTGGTATTCATAGCTTCTTTCTTTCGGACCGCGCATCTCCGCACCCCATGAAATCAACTTTTGATTTTTCACTCGAAGGGACTCACGCACCTTAGCCCCTAGGAGCCGCTGTCATCGCGTTCTCTCGTAACCGCGTGCAGCCACGACTACGCCTAGAACTAAGACGAGCCGACACCCTTCGAAATGGCCGAACACATCGGCGCCACCATCCTCACGCAGGACCGCCTGGACGAGCTGCTGCGAAAACTGCACGAAAATTCCGAAGAAATCGCGGCGCTGACGGCCGAACGTACCTCCCTGCAAAATGACGTCGCACGAGCACAATCTCAAGCACCTGGCACTCCGGTACAGCCCGCACCACAGACATCACAACACTGAAGTGTGGGGCAACCCGCGAGCGCGGCTAGTGATGGCGTCGTCCGCCACGACGGAGACAACGACCACGGCGCGGCACACCCCGAGGTGACAAATGTGGCTCGAAGCCAACCGCGCGTCACGATTTCGGCACCGATCAACGATTCGGCACTGCCATCACCGATGCCGCTGAAGCCGCAGCGTCCGCCATGCTTTGATCCGAGTCAACGGGGTGGTCCCACCGTTCAGGCGTGGTTGTTCACGATGAACGTATTTTTCGACGCCAACTACGTCTCGGAGGATACGTCGAAGACCCGTCTCGCTACGTCGTGTCGCTGCTGCGAGGACCCGCCATAGACTGGTGGCGTGTCATCGTCATGAAGCCGAATGACTACGCGACTCTACCGACACGGGAAGGACAAACCGGACCCTGGGCGCCGTCGTATTTTGTGGAGGTGCCCCAATATCGCACGTGGGATGCGTGGTGCGTAGGTCTGCGCGCTCGATTTGAGCCAATTGCGGCTTTGATCTCGGCGCGTCAGAAACTCCGCACTTGGCGCAACTCGGTTCCGTCCAAGATTACACCAGCGGGTTTCTGGCGCTATGCGAGCAAGTGGGTTATATGCACGAGGGCGAGCGTATCGACCGCTACATCGGCAGCCTGAAGCATGACATCGCCCAAGATATCCATCTTCGCGGCGTCACGGATTTTCAGGAGATTCTCGCCATGGCGGAGAAGCTCGACTTTTTCCGCCGACCGAGACCGGGGTCCTACGGAAGCAGTAACTGGGGACATCGGTCTCGTGGGACGAACGAGGGCGCTACGATACGTGTCATCGCCGCGAACGCCGCTGCCGCACCATTCAAAGGGCGCTGCTTCGCGTGAAATCGGCCGGGACACCGTAAGAGCGAATGCCCGGAAAACGCTAAGGGAAAGGGGGAAGCTGAGCAGCAGAAACAGACCAAGCAGCAGGGAAACGCTAGGAGTTAGTAGCAGACGGGCCCTCTTCTAACAGGTCACACCGCTCGCTCGACCTAACCGACCCTCACCGAGTGATTGTGCCGGTTCACGCAATCGACCACAACCTGTCAGAATCAAGAAGTGTGTGAACTATGAAACATTGGAGTACAAGTAGGAAACCCTAGATTTGTGTACCCCCTAAAGGCTAACCCACTATAGCCTACACAACAATAACACATATAGTGTTTGACACACCCCCATAGGCAAAGTGGGGGAGAGCAAGGGGTCACAAGACCAGTCAAGAAAGGCAAGCAAACTCAGGGTGGATCACAACGTCACCACACATTCCGAGCACAAGCAAAGGGCCACAGGGCCAGTTCACATGCAGAGGCATATATGCAACACAAACAGCAAGGTGATCTCAACCTAGCAGAGCAAACAGGCAGGAGTATATATATAGAGATCACAGTACAGGCAAAGCCTACAGCAAGTGAGGAAAAGCGGGCACCAGCCCCAGCAAAGTGCAGAAGCGCTGATGATCACCAGGCTGAAGTGCCTTGGTGAATATATCAGCGGTGTTGGCCTGAGAGGCCACGTAACGCAGATGAAGCTGACCGCGCTGCTGCAGCTCTCGAGCTAGGAAGTAGCGGAGAGCGATGTGCTTCGTTCTGTGCTCCAGTCTGTGCTCCTCACACAAGGCAATGGCAGCCTTGTTGTCGACGTACAGCACTGGAGGAGAACTAGGCCGCTCTCCCAGGTCAGTCAGCAGGTAGGTGAGCCAGCGTAACTCCTGTGCAGCCATGGCTGTGGCGTAGATCTCAGCCTCACAACTGGAGCTGAGAACTGAAGACGAACGAGTAGAACGCCACGAAACTGAGCCAGAGCCAAGGCTGAAGGTGTAACCCTGTGACGACCGCTGAGTAGCCTGGTCGTCAACCCAAGAAGCGTCTGAGTGCCCAGTGAGAACAACTGAGCTCCCTCCTCCAAGCACGAGCCCCATGCCCGATGTACTGCACAAGTAGCGCAATACCCTCTTTGCAGCATCCCAGCGCACCTTTCGGTGCCTGCCAGGAGCCACGTAGCGGGCCAGAAGGCCAAGAGGGTATGCTAGGTCAGGACGAGTGCAAGTCATCAGGTACATGAGGCAACCAACTAGCTCTGGGTAAGGACCACTCGGCTCTACGGACTCATCCGAAGGCAGAGCTGAGAGCGAGTGACCTATAGCCAGAGGAGTGGCCTGTGCTGAGGACCAGGTGAAGCCGAAGCGCTGAAGGACCTGCTGCACCATGTGTGACTGAGTCAGGGTAATGGTGCGGCGTGCTCTGTCCCGGGTGATCTGCAAGCCAAGGTAGCTGCGCAGTTCACCCAGGTCTGTGCATGTGTGTCTCTTCTGCAGCTCCAACTTCACGTGGGCGAGAGCCTCAGTGTCAGCAGTGGCAAAGACCAAGTCGTCGACGTACACGAGGATGTAGAACGGCGGCAGTGAAGTGTCGGTGCGCAGAAACAGCGACGGGTCAGCAGTAGAAGGAGCGAACCCAAGTGCCGCAAGAGTAGTCCTCAGTGTGTCGTGCCACTCACGTGGCGCCTGGCGGAGACCGTAGACCGGCCGCCGGAGGCTCCACTGGGTACCAGGAGGAAACGACCCAGTGAAGCCAGGAGGGCGGCGCAGCCAGATCTCCTCGTGCAGGCTGCCCTGCAAGAAAGCGGTGCTGAAGTCAAGAGAGTGAAGCTCGTAGTCACGCTGAGCAGCAACGTGCAGTAGTACCCGAAGAGTGGTCATCTTCGGGGTGGGGGAGAAGGTCTGAAAGAAGTCTACTCCCTCTCGCTGACTGAAGCCTCGAGCAACGTAACGAGCCTTGAAGACAGGCGGAGAACCCGGCGGCCGCTTCACCCTGAAAATCCACATGCCACTGACGATGTTCGCCCCAGGTGGGGGAACCTCGTCGAGGTAGGTGCCTGTGGACTTCCAGGAAGCCATCTCTGCGTCCATGGCTGACTGCCACTGTGAGGAGTAGGGACCCTCGATCGCCTCAGCGTACGATCGAGGAGTCGGGATGTCTGGTGCATCCGGGTCTCCCTCAGGGGCAATCAGCATGGACACGAGATGGGGCGCAGCGG